CCGGCCCCCCCGGCCGCCCTCAGCGAGGACGAGGACGAGGACGACGACGACGACGACTCGGAAGAGGAGGAAGAGGATTCTTCTGAAACCGACTCGGAGGACGACTCGGAGGAGCAGGGGGCTGCGCTGGAGGGGTAATTGATGATACCGGCCAAGCAGCTGGCGTCCGGTGCTGGGCGGGTGCTGTAGAGGCTTGTTCGGCTCTGCTGGTGTGCTTGCTGTCCCACGAGGGCGAGCATGGCCCTGGGCACCGGGAGAAGCAGCTCCTTCCCTCCTCATCCCCGGGTGGCCCAGGAGAAAGAGGTTCCGTCGTATGAGGAACTGCAGCCACCCCGGGGGGCTCCCTGCACCGTCCCCGTGCCCTCTTTGCTGTCCCGAGGGGAGGCCCAGCTGGGAGCGACCCTGCGGTGCGAGGCAAAGGTGTTGGCCAGCCTCCCGTCTCGGCTGTCAGTTGGTGCCCAAGAAAGAGGAGGAACGCGTCAAACACATCATTCATCTCCTGATAATCCTCCTCCTTTTCCACTGCTTTCAGCTCCCAAACCATGACTAAACCCCCTAGTCATTGTCCTAACGACTGCCTTTGCAGGGATCCCTTACCCACCTTTGGACATCCCCTACACAAGTCTCTAATCACTAGCAAGTGTACCTCACGCAAATGTTTTTTCTGGCTGGAGGCCAAGACAAAACAGGGCACGATACTGGTTTTCATGTGCAAGACAGACCACCTTCTGTTTCAGCTTCCTTCATGAGTGTCTTGCACAGCCGGGTCCCGCTTCCCCGCTTGTACCTACCACTCGTTAATCTTTACCTGTGTTCCTCTTCCTTTCTTTAGTGACTTCAATCTAGCAGATTATGACTACCTGCCAGTATCTTCTGAAATCAAAGAACTCTTTGAATACATCAAGAGGTGAGTGGAAGGGGTTTTAGCCCACTCTTGCTCTCCTTTGTGCCAATTAGTGTGGCAACGTTGGCAGGACAAGTCATAGTTACCCATGGTGGTGGTTTTTTCTAGGTACACGCCCAAAACAATAGAGATCGAGCACAAACTGCAGCCTTTTATTCCAGACTTTATTCCAGCAGTTGGAGACATTGACGCGTTCCTTAAGGTAGAGTTGCTTCGGGTTCCTCTGTACCTCCTGCCGCACGAGCCGGGGCATTGCTGCGAGAGGGGCACCCGAGGCCATCCGTCCCTGCAGCAGCGCGCGCCCTTGCCCTGCGCTGTCAGAGATAACGTTCTGGAGACCTGGTACACCAGCCTCGCTTCAGCCACCTCTCAAACAGCACATCCATGATTTGGGGCGAAGGCTGCATTTCCCTTGCCCAACACCTTGTGCTTCTCAGGTAGTGCTGTGCTAACAAGGCCTGTTCAAGAGAGCCCACCTACCCACGCCTTTCAGGGACTGACTTTTAAACCGCCCCAACTTCCCCCTCTTGGGACTCCTGTAGGAAACAGGGTCTCTGTTTATCTGCAGGTTCCCCGTCCTGACGGCAAGCCTGATAACCTTGGCCTGCTGGTCCTGGACGAGCCGTCAACCAAGCAGTCGGATCCCACCGTGCTCTCCCTTTGGCTGACAGAGAGCTCCAAGCAGCACAACATCGCAGTGAGTCGCAGAGAAGGAGGCGGCACTGGCTGCACGCTGGCTGCAGCGAAACCATGGCATTTACCTCTTACTTTTGTCTGTGTGACCGCAGTGCTGCGTCGCAACTGATAACTTGGCCTTAAAAGCAGAAAAAAATAATCTTTTTCTTTAACCTAGAGCTTTAAACTACAATGGATCTAAGCCTTGCTTCAGGCAAGTCTTGGTAGAGACTTTGCGTACATTTCATTCAGATGAAGCTCTGTTTCGGTTATCAATACCTGGTTTTACTCGGTGGTTGGTTTGCCAGCTGCTCTTCTGCCTGCAGAAATCAGTTGGTTTTGTGCAGCTAGGAGAGAGAAAACGCACGGTTAATTGGGAGCGAACACAGGCTTTGCAAAAACGCCCCCAAACACCATAAAGTGCCTCCAGGTTTATATTTCTGTTTTTAGCAGCAGATAAAAGTGAAGAGTTTGGAGAATGCAGAGAAGAACCCCAAAGCCATTGAGAGCTGGATCGAAAGTATCAGCGAACTGCACCGCTGCAAACCTCCCGCCACTGTCCATTACAGCAGGTGAGCCGTGACTCCCACTCTGCTTCCCACGCTCGTACAGCGTGAGCTCAGCCCAGTGGGGGGCTGGCAGCAAAGCCCGGGGGCGCCGAGTAAAACTGTCAAAATATCTCTGCGAATGAGAAGATGTGCTGATTTCCAGGGTAGTGGCACCATGTGTGTGTGCAGGACGCTGGGTTTCACTCTGTGCTCCCTACGTATCTTGACTTCGTCTAACGGCTAGCAGGCAGAACTGGCACCTCAGCGAGCTTCGGCTTGTTGTGCTGAATAGAAGTGCCCATGTTGACCCCCAGCGGAGGCACAGATCTCTCTCAGCCAGTTCGAGCAGAAGTTGTCCCGTTTACAGTGGTCTGGCAGCAGGAAGCCGTTTCGGTTGGGTGTGATCCGAAAGTTTATGTTTGTTTCTTCCCCCTCGCAGGCCAATGCCTGACATTGAGACGCTGATGCAGGAGTGGTCCCCAGAATTTGAGGAGCTCTTAGGAAAGGTATGTCGTGCAAGCAATAAGTAGCTAGCTCTGCATGTGATGTTAGAAACCATCTTCCACGGAAGCTGGGTTCCTGCTCCCTTTTGAGCTCTTTGCCCACAGCCTGGCCCGTTCGGGTTCGTTCCTACTGACCGTTTCTCCCTTGCCAGAAGACGGGGCAGCAGCCGAAGGCCTGAATTCCCAGCTGCTGCCCGGCTGGCCTCTGCGCTCAGCCGGAGATCAGCGCGTGCTCTCGGGCTCGTGCCATAGAGGAGCAGAGCTGACAGCTCCCTCTGTTCCAGGTGGGGCTCCCGACTGCAGAGATGGACTGCGACCTGGCCGAATACATTGACATGATATGCGGTAAGCTGGGGAGCCTGCGCTGAAGATGCAAGCCGGCTGCTGGCCTGGCACTGTCTCCCTTTAATTGAGAGACCTCTAGGTGCAGGCTCAGCCCCGGGTAGTCCAGATCATTCTCCGCTGCCTCCAGTAGGAAGCGGAACTCTGGCACGGCCGGCGCCTGCGGTCTTTGCTGAGCGAAGGCCCCAGTGATCGTGGGCAGTGGGATGCTCAGCCTTTCCTCACAGCCCCCTGCGCAGGGCGGTGCAGCCCACCGGCTCTCACGCACCTCTGCTCTCGCTCGTAGCCGTTCTGGACATCCCCGTGTACAAGAGTCGGATCCAGCCCCTGCACGTCCTCTTCTCCCTCTACTCGGAGTTCAAGAACTCGCAGGTATGCAGCTCCAGCCAGGCACTGCTCACCCAGCTGGAAGCATCACACAGCTGCTCGCCTTACATTTGGCTTTCCTGTGCCGTGGGTGTTTGTGAAGGGCTGGTAGGAGAAAGGGCTCCAAAGAACATTTTCTAAGCTTCTCGTTCCCCTGGTATACCTCCATGTTACACAAGGAACCTCTGCTGTGCTGCAGGGCTGGGCTGCTGTGTTTTTGAGCAGCCCAGCAGAAGCCCACAATGCTTTTCCCACCAAAGCCAGGGCGACTGCTGAGCATGCAGCTCATGTGGAGCAGAAGCGGCTTGCGTTTTCAGACTCCAGTTACGAAAGCTGAATGTTTGTGCTAACGCATTCTTTCCCCCGCAGCATTTCAAGCCCCTGGCTGACGGGAAGAAGGGCCAGAGCCCGCCATCCGACCCTCCTTTGCAAGCGGCAGACGGGGAAGCGTTAAGTTTTACTTGAAGCTTCATCTCCTGGATCGACGTCTGCCACTGGACGTGGAGATCTGACCCAAGCAGCCTGTGAAGCAACGTGCGTCGTTTCAGAAGCCTCCCTGGTTTTCTAGGTACTGCCGAGCTGTTCTGCATTCACAGAGTAGGACTGCACTCATCACATTTATTGCAGAAGCTGCCTAACGGCCCCATTTGTGACTTGTCCCCAAGCAGCTCACCATTATACCAGCTCTTGCCAACGACAGGCTCCCTGTGCCACAGGCGCTGCAGGGCAGAGGCTGCTTGAGCGCAGCCTACAAGTGCTGAAGCAGGTGGGAATAAATTCTGTGCTCAGACACCACACTCAGATCTGCCCAGTGTGTTCCAAGGTCTGATCTGGGGATCTCCGATCTCCTCTCCCCCGTAGTGTTGAGCCCCTTTTTCTATTCTCGAGCCCCTCAGCTGCTGCCAAGGAGAAATAACCAGCGTGGCACAACGCGGACGCTTGAGTTCAGTTTATTGCTGTTGGGATGACTCTCTCCAGCCCCTGCCACGCTGCCCACCTGCCGCAGCCCTGACAGGGGCGGTGAGGACGATGCTGCACGCTGGCGACGAACCTGCTAAAGCAAGGCTGGTGCTGGGCCTCGCCCCGGGAGGAATCGCAGCGCTAGCAGCTTGGCAGAGCAGGGCTGCAAACAGCTTTGATGCATTTTCATTATAATAGTCTATTTGTCAAGTGCACGGGCTACATAAAAACGTGCTTTGGCTAACAGCACAGCTACCGCGACCTGCAGCGTGTAGCTTAACATCTAGCCGGGGGCTGGTCAGCGCTCGCCACCCAGGACAGCCTCCCCAGCACCCTCGGCTGTGCCTCTCCAGAGGCTGGTGTGTACCTGGTGCCAGGCACTGCGTCGCCTCTCACAGCCAGATCTCATCGCTGCTCGCGCTCGGCACTTTGTAGATGCGCCCAGACAGCGGGAGCTGGACAAAACCTGCAGGACAAAGACAGCTCATTGCTATCACCTTTTGCAGTGGCCACAGAGGTCGGCATCCCCTCGCCCACCTGTGCCAACTCACCGAGCTTGCTGAGGACCAGGGAGTTCTCCAGCCCCGGCAGGGAGTTCTCCTCTCCCCTGCCACCGGCTCCCACGTCCTTGGGGGAAGCTGTAGGGGAGGAAAGGGGTGACACTGGGAATATCTGGCCCCCACCTAGACAGGACCTGTGGCCCCCCGTGGCCCCCTGCCCCAGCACCGCAGGGTCTCACCTCTGGCTTCCTGCACAAAGTCACCAAAGCGCAGGTCGGGGGGCAGGGACCGGGTCTGGCGGGGCAGATGCGCCCC